AAGAATGTCCTTTTTGTCCTTTGTGTGCGTCATCAATTTGTATTTATTTTTCGTATTTGATAGATACACAGTAGGAATTATCAACCACATCACAAGATAACCTTCTGTGATGCTCGGACTGTCTTATTTTGCCAAACCTTGGAATGGATAATTGGTTGTCTGAAATCATATTAAATAAAAAAAAGAAAATTTCCGAGTCGAGTTATACTTGAAATATTAATCTACATTGGAGCTCGCATAATTTCGCATTAATCTTTCATTTCAATTTCTAAGATTCATTTTGTTGCCGTCGAAATTATGTACATTAGATTCTGGTGCCTAAATCAATAATCAAACTTTGATTCGGATTCGGGTGATATTTGTGGAAACCCGTTAACATCTGGTCATCCGAATAGATGACGTCAAGTTTCCGCAGACCTGACACTGACCACACGATGACAACACCAAGCAAAGAGAACTCTGCAGCACATGATGCCATGGAAGCAAATACGTCATTAGCTCATCCCTTTCCTGGTCGTCATGCTCTCACCAAGGACAACCCTGCGGTTGTCCAAGGCTGGAGTAGGTTCCGAATCGAGGCCCTGTGTCCCCCACCCCCCACAGCTGAAGCGTCCCTCTCAGCGGCATACAATCAAACACTTGGCGTGTCCGATACCGCTGCTTCATGTCAGCCCACGCGACGTTCCATCTTGCTGTCTCTAGGTGAGGACGGCCACGGTATCGGATTCGGATTCGGATCCGATCCGACAAACCTACAGATCTGATTCGGATTAGTCCAACGAGGGAGGACAACAGCGGCCCGTTCGTATCGCGCCTAAACTCGAGACTGAATTGGCGACACGAGCCGTTGCGTCACCGTCGCGTAGTAGGAGTGCGACAACGTGCCCCTCGTTTCGATATCCTATTTCGTGGCCCAGCACCTGTCGAACATTCCAATTCCTGCACGCAAAACTTGCCACAGTAGGCTTCCAATTGTCCAAAAGGAACGTCTCTTCGAACCCTTTCTCTACCCAAAAAGAGAGAAATCTCTTGAGACTTGATCGAGAAGTTCATTCCCCAAAGCATCAATATATTCTTTATTGGCCAATGTTACATTGTGCCCAGTTTTCAATTTGAGAGCACCAATCCCTAACCAAGGTCAAAATGGAACCCCAATGGGAGTCGAGGAGCACTGTGAGTCGAAGAAGACGACCAGCAACGTGTAAGGTCTCCGAAACACGCACCGCGAGAGTCACGACGCGTACATCCCCCAGAAAACGCGCCGCCCACAGTCTCCCCGAAACGCGATATGATGAACGTAACGGATGTTTTGTTTGCAGATCGATCTTGTCGTACGTATATGATATAACGTGAAAGAACTATTGACAATGTCGTTATTTCTGGAAGGACACCTTTGGGATGGATACGCCATGGGGGGGTAGTTTGGGAAGAGCAGCTGCATGTAATAAATGAATGGAAGAGGAGGCGCTGCCTTGAAGAATCTCGTTGGTTTTGCTTAGAAAAATACTTCCCCCACTAGCCTGCTGCTTTCTACGAATCCACTACGACTCATAAATAAATATTCCAAACATGCTTTCAGAAGCATTTTGTCAAACACCTTCGTCTCTCCTTTTACTTAGAAAATGACATTAATTATAAGCCGTATACCATTTTTTAATATTTTATTTGTCAAAATTATACGTAATTATTATTTTCTTATTTTTCATAGTGATTCTTCAAATCCACCTTAATATTCTTACCGTGAGTGACTACGTAAATTAAATTAGCATAATGCTTCCATGCGTCCAACTAAATAGTGGAGTGTTGTCTTGGTACATGGTGACGGAAAGCTGAGCTATTCACCGAACCCTTTCCCCTCTAGCCTATTCTGCATACCAGTATATATATATATATATATATAACAAAGAAGAAAAATGACTTATAGGTCAAAACACGGTTATCTTTATCGTAACAAAAGGCATGAAGCAAGTACATGATGGACGTAGTGTGCTGTGGAATTAAGTTGTGTTGGAAGAATGAGAGAGATAGCAGGGTTGGGTGGGTGAATTCCCGTTAGCTTTGGCAGGCCCTCGGAAGCCTCGTGTCGCAGATTTAATGGTGTGTGACCGTGCACCCTGACCTTTCCCATCCCTGCCCTGCTCCTCCTCCCTTGGCGCCTCGTGATCAGCAGGAGGAGGAGGAGGAGGAGGAGCCAATCTCGATCCCCTCGAGGTAAGGGGGAGAGGACGGCAAGAGGGCGACTTCGCACTGTTCGAGCAACGATAGATTAGGCAACTAATTTCCTCTGTTTCTGTTGTAGGTAGAAGAAACGGAACCCCCTGGGAGTGGGTTGGAACAGGAAGAGCAACTGCAGCAACAGCAACCGCAGCAGTAGAAGAGATCATTGCCGGCCCAACTTGTCCTCGTTATGCTATGTCTGCGTCCATCTCCTCCTCCAATCCATTCTGTCTTTATGTTTCTTTTTCTGATGGTTTTGCTTTGGCAGCGATCTCAAGGAGTTGTGGAGCCAAAAAGGAAAAGGGAAAGGTAGGCAGAGCAGAGCCATTTCCTTTGATCCCCCTCGATCCCGTCTTCTTCTCTCTAAAGCTTCTTTTGGTCACCCGGGAATCTCCCTCCCCTCCCTCCTTGCATGGTTCGTCGCTTGCTTCGTTGCTTCAAGGATGTTATACCTGTTGTTTGGTTCCTGCTGATGTTCACGTTTGTAGCATCTGTGCTTAGGGTCTTTGACGAGGGATTCTTGAGATCGGAAGGAGGGTTTGTGCTACGATGACGACGACGATGTTGTTGTTTGATTCCTGTTGATGTTCACGTTTGTAGCATATGTGCTTAGGGTCTTTGACGAGGGATTCTTGAGATCGGAAGAAGCGTTTGTGCTACGATGACGACGACGATGGTGGTGGCGTCGCGGAGAGGAGACTTGAACCTAAACCACGCGCCGCTGCCGGACTACGAGGAGCATGTGAAGGAGGGACTCAAGCAAGCCATGGTTGAGCACGACACCCTCTTCAAGCATCAGGTTCTGCCTCTTTTCCGCTTGGTGGATTTCCGTGGCTACACCAATCTGTTCTTGGAATCGTAAGTGCGGATCTCGCGATGTGTAGGTGCGGGAACTCCATCGCTTGTATTGGACGCAGAAGAAAATGATGAACGAGGCTTGCTGGAGACGATCTGATTTGGTATCGCCTCGTGAGGCACGAGTCGGATGGAAGTTACTGGGAGAGAAGAAAACCGGCGACGTGCCATCTCGCTGGCTCACGGTAAGAGATGCGGTGGCAAAACCTTGGTGGGCGAGTTGTGGAGTTCTTTGTTTATTTTGTTGCTGAGTACATTTCAACCCGCAGGTGAATTCGATGGAGATGCGGAACACCACAACAGAATTTAATGCTAATGATAGGAGCTACAGTCTTCAGCTTCCAGCTAATGTCAATAGTTCATCTGGCATCAAACCTCTGGCAAATAATGCTGCAAATAGGAGTCTTTCTCAAATTTCTGCTTCATCTGACTTTTGTTCGGTAGCTGCAATGCAGAGTGAATCTGGTCATAGGCGGACAGAGAGGTTTTCCCATGCAGAGCCTCAGACTGTAAGATGGCAAGAGGCGAGCTTCCTCTACCCAGATGGTGAGTTTTCTTAATGATGTAATGTATCTATTCTTTTGCACACGAGAGACTATTGATCCATCAATTATAGAATAAAACTCTTCTTGCATTGCACTTCTTAAACAAGCTGAATTCAAGAATCCATCAATATGCATTATTAGTCATCATATTGTTTTACATTCATTCATCCGATGCAATATGAATACCTGATACCTCTTTGGAGAAAGATTTGGTATTTGCATATGCAGTTTATGCATATCCAACCAATCCAATTAACAATGTACAATTACTACATCAGTCACGGATTTGTCTTTAACATGTCATATCAGATCGTTCCAGGATTGCTTATTTGACATAGTAACATTGTTATTATGCCTATTATTTGAGTTATTGCTGCCTTGTTTTCGCATTGAGATGTCTAGGACTCCCGTTGATATTGTTGTGAATACAGATGTATCTAATTTCTAGTGGTTGTTGTTTGATATCTTCCCACCCCTTCACTAATTCCTCAATCACTATATCGTTAGGTAACCAAATAGTTTGACAACAATGTGCCAACCTTAAACCAGATTAATTTCATTCTCTTTTTTTGTAGATTTTCAGACACATTTCACAAGAAAAGTTACAACTATGTCAACCTATATTTCATCATCTTGTTCTTCATCCATAAGAGCTTCGAAAAGAATATATAATATGATGTGTTTATGGATAGATTATCTTATTCTGTTAAAAAAAATCTCCAAGTTGCTCGTGATATGATGTGTGCCTTACCCAACCTGAATCAAACTAGATTGAGATTTTATTATTTTTGGACTACCTTAATCTGTTGATTGTTGAGTTCCATCTAGTTACTAAGTGTCTAGGCGATGCTACAATGCATACAGCAATGTCTTGATTGAAGATGTCTCTTCAATCTTAGACCGATACCCCAAGGTGGGCTTAACTAGAGACCTAAGCTCAACCTTCATGTCATCAACACCGACATCACTGGAATAATCACATACAGGTGCTACTAATTGAGGGCATGACAATCCTTATCAAGAGCTTACTCAATGTCTAGGTGCATCGATAGGGCTGAGCCAACACTGTGTTAGTCTTAATTGGCCAGTTTGAGGAGCCTGATACCACATAGCAGCCAACTTAGGAAAGAAATTCTTTCTAAAATCATGTAACAGATATTACAGAAACTTGACTAACTTGGAGACCATTTCCTAAATGAAAGAAACTAGTACTGCAGCACTTGCAGAATTCTAGTACTAGTCCTCGTCAAAGTCAGATTCCATGTAGATTTGGTTTGATCACTCAGTATCCAAAAAGGATGAGCACACTGGAATTCTACATCAAACCTTTCCAGTTCAATATATATATATATATATATATATATACTCTGTCTCCCAAAATTTTCTTCCCCTTCCTCAATTCTTTTCTGATCTCAATGTTACTTTTTTGGTTTGTTGTGGTTTGCAGTGTAAGAAGAAACTGCTGACCTGCAATTGTCTAGAATTGTTTATGGATGTCTTCCTTGCTGTATATTGATTTATTCCTTTTTGGATATTGTTGGACTAAGAAAGATATGTTTCCTAGACAATTTTAATTCTTGTGATCAATTTGGATTGCTAATTTATTTTTCTTGCTTGTTTTGCTTACATTGGAGGTTTTTAGTATCCATGTATTTCACAATAAGATAATATTTTGAAATTTATGTCTGCAGTTGTAACTTGAAGTTTGATATTGTTAATTTGATGTTAGGATCTTTGGGTTTGATCAAATACTATGATTTAGATGGATATAGTTTCATCTTTATGGTTGTTTTGTAAATCTTGGTTTCAGAACGTGGCTGATCATTGTTAACTATAAGGTTGAAGAGAACTTTTCACATTGGAAAGATCATGTTTCTCATAGCAAATCTCACTTGGACTTATCCAGCATATTCTCAATATCCTTTCAAATTAGTAGGATGACTCTTTATTCCCTCTTAGTTTCTTTCCTGGGATTTTTTTCTTTTCTTTTTTTCTTTTAATTTCTCATGTGATGATTATTGTGGTATTCATCCAGCAGGACTTTCATCTTCTAGCCAACCGAGAAAGTTAGCTTACTATTGTTAATCTATTATTAAATTGATCTCTTAATATCTTCTGGAATCTGTTCAGGATTAGAAGAATATGGAGGCTCTCTCTCTGCCAATTTCCCCACCAAGAATCAATGGCCACAACACAAACTTATGCACATTGACCTGAACATAGCTCAAGACAGTGAATCTATAAATGTTTTTCCAAATACTGCAGAAACATTTTATTCTCCATCAACAAGTTCATCAGTTGTTCACTATGGAGATAATCTTAGAGTATCAAATGATAAATACTCAAAAGAATCTGAAGCAAGCAATGAGAGCACAAAAGAATCCACTGTCACAAATCAACCTGGTGTCATATCTCCCAGTTCAGAAAATTCAAGGGAGAAGAGTGCTGATTCATTGCCTCATGACCCTAAAGATTCCGATACTTCCTCAGTACAAGCTTCCGGACAGAGCAGCAATTTTATGAGGAAGAACTGGGACCATAAAGGATATATTGTGGAAAATGAAGTCTGCAGATCTGGCATCAGGATCTCTGAAGAATGTAGCAAAAATTTAGTGGAAAGATTTTCTAGCGCCTATGATGAGCAAGCTCATGGTGGTACAAATGGAACAGTTCTAGCAGACTTCCAAAAACCTGGAATCGAAAAAATTGGCTCATCAGTTGGTGAGCCAAATTTTGCTGTACAGAGTGATGACAGAAATAATGTTCCAATTTTCAGAGTTCACGAGGAACACGATTGCTTGCATAAATCATCTGGGAAGACCAATCTGCCACCAAAAACAACTGGAGATTTGGAAGAGAAAGAAACAAATGCTGAAGGGAGTGAAGATACCATATCAAGTCATGTCACAATGCCAGATGAAAAGCAAAAAGATGAGCTTATGGAGTATACTATCGGCATTAAGCTAAATCGGTTAACTAGACACAGTGAATGTACCTCAAAGAAGAAAAGTATGGAAGATCATACAGTTATCTCCAGTTCCAAGGATTTTGGGACTACTCACTCATGTTCAGTGATGCCTGAAAAGATTTGTCACAAACAGATTCCAAATGTTGTAGATTCTGACTACATCTGCACACAGGATAGACCGTGCAGTTCTGATGCATCACAGCCTAGAGATGATATGGAACAGCAGCTAGCCAAAATAGAGCAAGATAATATTATTATCAAGGCAGCTGAGATACTTCTATCTGTTTCTTCAGAGAAGCCATTGTGTTCAATGGATCCATTGGCTACTGATGGGCAGATGGAATTAAAATGTGAAGAAGGCAATGATCAGCCTCAGTCTTCTAATTCTTTTGAGACAATAACTCTGAAGCTACAGGAGATCAGAGATAATGGAAGTTCCATCTGTGCTAGCCAAATTGAGAGTGAGCCTAGGAAGGATGGATGCGGCTTTAGACCACGTAGGGGAAGGCGGGATTTCCAGAAGGATATATTGCCAGGGATTATCTCTCTTTCAAGGCATGAAATCTGTGAAGATCTTTATGCAATCCAGTATGACCTTAGGAAGAAATCTAAATCAACCTGTGAGAAGAATTGGTTAGTTCCTGTTAGACGTAGGCGCTCAAGGCGACATGGTCAATAATAGCTGCTAAGAGTTTCAGGGAATTTAGATTTTGAATTCAAAATTATAAACTGAATTTCTGTAAAATATAGTGTTTAGATTATGCCTAGCGTATGTAAGTATCATATCAGTTTTTGGATTATTGCATTTGCTCTGATTCACTCTCATTGAAGACTGTTGCAAGCAAAGCTGGAATATGTGTGCTTTCATCAAAATTCATGGTTTAGTTATTGGCAATTTTATTTCCAATCACATTTATTTTGATCCATATGAGAGTCAATCTGTGTTCAAACCAGTTTATCCTATCCGTTGAAGAGGCAACAAATGGCATTGATGCATAGATATCATGCAGGAGGATTACAACTACAATGTCATCGAAGCAAATTTGCTGCATCAGATCAGAAGCCAGCTTTATGCTGAGTAGTCAAAGTATTGTAATTATAAAATGTAAGAATACTTTTTTCCTTTGTCTTTTTTTTTCAAAAAAAAGAAGATATTATTAATTCAAAATTCTTTTATATCCTACACATTGCTCCTCAGGCCAATTTGACCTTCGAACATGGGAGATTCTTTAGCTGTATGTGCTAAAGAATCTTAGCACATACAGCTAGAACGTGGGAGCTTCTATTGCGTTCTCTATACACATCATGGTTTTACATTCTCAAAATTGGAAAAAACATGTATGATAGAACTGATGCAATTTCGTATCCTCCAAGGGATTACTTTCTCTTTATTTAGTATTATTTTAACCAGGTCTAAATCTTCAGATTCGATTTTCGATTTGGATACACCTTCCTGCTAAAAGATAAATTCCATTATTAGATCGTAGTAAAAATTCAATTCTCTTTTACCGGAGGTAGCATCGTATGTACCATCAGTATTCAGTTTAATCTAATGAAAGGTTTCTACCAGATGATTCCAGTACGACCTATCTCACAATTAGTTCTTTTAGAATTTTGTAGGCCTTCGCTATTCATCATAAAGAGCTTACGAGCAATAGAATAAATATTAATCTTAACCTCATTAAATAAAATATCATTTTCGACCTTCCAAATCTACCAAAGATTATGATTTTACTTCTGGACATTAAAACGTCCAAATAGGATGATAAAAGAATATATTTTTCTTAGCTACTTATATGATTAGTTTAGTTATCGGTTTTGGGATCCAAAATGACAGAAAGTATTTAGAAGCAAAGATGTAGTCTTCTTTGATGATTAAACCCTTAAGAATTTGAAGAAAGAGATACCAGCTAAGACTTTTATAGAAGGATTAGCAGACTGTGACTTGGTTACTCCATCAATATATTAAGGTGATGGGAAAGATAAATAGAAAGATTGTGGAAAGGCCGATATTGGTCTACTTACAAAACATGTTGAGTAGAAAGAAGATGGAGAGTAACTTTATATAGAACCTCAATTGAGAAGATCTTCTAAACAACATCAACCTTCCAAAAGATACTTTATAGATAAGTATATGATACTTATTAATGTACGTGAACCAGAGAGTTACTATGAAACAATTGAAAGTGAGTAGAAAAAAAAGTTGTTAGTTACTATAAAAAAAGAGATAGATGGTCTATAGAAGAACCACACATATGATTTAGTATAACTACAAAAGAGAAGGGAGACCTTAAAGAGCAAGTAGGTTTTCAGGTTGAAGACTCAAAATTAATGTTTTCAACCAAAGTATAAAACTACATTAGTTGTGAAAGGTTTTGGTCAAAAGAAAGATATTGACTTTGAAGATATTTTTTTTCCTATTGTTAAAATATCTTCTATCCGTGTTTCTCTTAGTATTACTATTAGTCTAAACTTGGAGGTTATGTAGTTGAATGTGAAGACAACTTTCCTTTAGTGATTTAATAGAGAAAATTTACATAGAGCAAACAAAATGTTTCAAAGTCAAAGATATAAAAAATCTTGTCTGCAAGTTAAGGAAGAGCTTGAATGACTGAAGCAAGCTCCAAGATAATGTTATAAAAAATTTGATTTATTTATGATTGAAAATACAAAAGAATGATTTTATATCGTTGTATATACATTAAATAGTTTAGTGAGGTTTTCATTATCCACTTACTTTATGTTGATGACATTCTTATTCTTAGAAAAGATATGTCTATAATTGATAGGCTAAAGAAAGACATGAGTGAGCCCTTTGCAATGAAGGACATAGGACCAGCAAAGTAAATACTGGGCATACAAATTTTCCATGATAGAAGAAACAAAAAGATTTGGTTGTCATAGAAGAAATATATCAAGAAGGTATTTGATAGATTTAGTATGAGCAATACAAAGCCAGTTGGTTCTCCTCTTTTAGGTCACTTCAAATTATGCTTAAGGCAGAGTCCATCGAGCGATGGGGAGAAGGAGAAATTGTAAAAGGTTCCTTATGCTTCAGGAGTTAGAAGTTTGATATATGCGATGGTATATACGAGGTCGAACATCGCATATGCAATGAATGTTGTAGCAGATTTCTTGCAAATCTAGACAAAGAGCATTAGGCAATAGTGAAGTTGATCTTTAGATATCTCAAAGGGAGCTACAAAGTTTGTTTAAGCTTTGAAGGTGGACCATCTATGTTGACAGGTTACACAGATGCAGATATTATAAGAGATATTGATACGAGAAAGTCTACGTCAAGTTTTGTACTCACCTTTGTAAGGGGAGCTGTGTCATGACAATCCTGATTACAAAGGTGTATGGCTCTCTCTACCATAGAGATAGAATATATTGCTGCTATAAAGATTTTCAAAGAAATATTATGAATGAAAGAATTCTTACAAGAATTGTTGAAATAGAAAAATTATATGGTGCATTATGATAGCTAAAACATCATCCATTTGTGTAATAACCCAATTTTTTATTCCAAATCAAAGTATATAGATATAAGATATCATTGGATTCAAAATGTATTTGAAGAGTAGTTACAACTTTAAGAAATTCATATAGATGATAATGAGATAGACATGTTAACAAAGACATTATCGAAAGAAAGGCAAGATATGTGTCGATGGTTGATAAGCAGGAGTTGTGTCGATAGCTAATCGGCATAACTTCACATTAAGGAATCATTGAACAACCTCTCTTATGGGTTAAAGAGGGAGGTTGTTGGGCACATGACCCATTAATTCAACCCATGGTAGGCCTTAATAACCCATAACAGTCATTTAACACTTTCTCTTTCAACCTAAACATGCAAAAAAAGGGTGTTTTTGCCACTGCTATGGGCGTGGCTAGAAGAAACTGCAGCAACGATAGTTGAGGGTAGAGGAATAGGAGAAGAAAAAAAGAGAAGAAGACAAGGATAATATAGAGGTCGATCAAATTATCCGGGCAGTATTCTAGCCTTAAATTCGATCAGATTTGTAGTGGATTCTTGCTATGATCATGGAAGAAAGGAGATTTTGAATATTGTATATGATGACATAATCCTTGTATCCTTGTTATTCTCTTATGCTTGAGTCTTAGGCAAGAGACTTCGAGATTTATACGTTTATTATTTTTATAGAAGATTTGTTTCTCTAGCTTGCCGTATGATTTTTCTCCTTTGCAAAGATTTTCCACATAAATCTTGATATTATATGTGACTATAATTTTCATTTAATTTTTTTGTTATGACCTACTCATATTTGTTTGTACATAATTTTTTTTTATCCCATCATGCCATCGACCACTACTTGCGCTCAATCGTGAGTGGTGATTCTTTTCTGTGGTTGACAACCATACCACACAAGGCACTCTTCATTGCAGGTAGCATCTTGGCATTGTCCATCATCTGCCAATGTAGCCATGTTCACTACCCTTGTCGTCGCCAGGGCTAGAGCCCAAGGACCATCGTTGCAACACCTAGTGCAATGTAGGCCACGACTAGAGCATCACCAAAATGGTAGCTACGAATTTCTATCGTGACACCTCTCATATCGAATACCACCACCGCGGGCAGAATGACAACTCGCTATCTCACCTTAACCTTGGAGGAGTAATGAAATGATAAAAACACAATACTACGATGTAATTAAAAATAATATTTTTAATCAAGAATACCGATGTAGTATTTAAACAAGAGGTAAGACATAGAACATGTACAGGATATTCCCAAGTGCACACATATCTTACTTCATGAACTATGGTCTTATTTATAGGACCTAATGGTAACTACATCACTTCATCATATCACCCAGGATTGAGTTAGGTGTAGGAACTACAATATAACTTCTAGATTATGTGTCACTACTTAGAACATGCTTATAACTACCTAGAATATGACAATTACCTAGATAACCACTATGAATCAATTCTCAACACTCCCCTTTGATTTATAGTTATATACACAGATTTGAGATATAAAATAAACATACTTCTGAACTAGAAGCAACTTGGTGAGAATATCTGCAACTTGTTCATCTGTATCATAATGCTTTATTGCTATGGCTCTACTTGCTATAAGATCCCGGATGAAATAATAGCGTATCACTATATGCTTCGTTCTTCTGTGAAATATTGGATTCTTCGTTATTGCAATTATGGCTTTGTTGTCACAAAATATTTTTGTTGCTTCTTTTTATTCTCGATGAAGATCTTCAATAAGTCTTCTAAGCTATATTGCTTTGTTGCAACTACATATTCTGCTTTCGATGTCGATAACGTAGTTGTTGTTTGCTTTTCTGAACTCTAAAATATAGCTCCTAATCCGAAACTAAAAATATTGTCTGAAGTACTATTTTTATCATCTAAAGCTCCTATTCAATCACTATCAGTGAAACCAAATAATTTACATTTAAAATTTTGAGAATACCAAATGCCTATAGTTCTAATAATATAATGCAGAATTCTTTTAACAGCTTTGAGATGATGTTTGCTTAGGCTATGCATAAACCTAGATACTACACCAATAGAGAATGTAATATTTGGTTGAGTTAGATAAATCAAACCTCCAACCAAACTTTTGTAGTATCTTGCATTTGTCAAACATATACTATCTTTAAGTTTCAATTTTTCATTTACATTCATGGGTGTTGCTGCAGCTTTATAATTAATTATGTTAGATATTTTGAGTAGGTTTATTGCATACTTTCTTTGTGAAATAAAAATTTCATCTGATCCTTGCTTCACTTCTAACCTAAGAAAATAGTGCAGTAGACCTAGATCTGACATTTCAAACTTATTCATCATATATTTTTTTAATTTTACTATAAAAGAGTTAAATGAACCCA